TATATTTTGAGTGGCTGTTTGCCATCTTCAGCCCTTGATGTGAATCTCTTATTCTCCAGGGGATGTTTGGACTCGGTTCCGAGCTGAATCCTATCCCCTGCTCCCTGTTCATGTTTGAGGTTGTTTGTCTCAGACGTGACAGTCCCAACACAGTAACGGCAGTGAAGTGAAGTGTGAAGCAGGACTTCAGATGATGTGACCGAACCTAAATGGCCGCGCCGCGAGTCGTCTGTCCTCATTCACATCTACAGCACTTTAACCTGAGTTTAACCCGCTCAAACTCACATATTCACATCTCTAGAGCTCAGAAAAGAGTTTGTCGGTGGCTGGTTAGTGATTTTGATGGAATAGTTTAAACTTGGGATGACAGAAATAATGTGTTATGTTGATTACAACAAACCTGGTGTGTCAAAACGTGTGTCAATGTATTACTATGATACTTTTCTGTTTCTGTTAAATATTCAACTCTCTTGTAATCATATGAAGTTTTGCTCATATGAAGATAGTCAGAGGAAAACTGTATTACTGTATTGCTCAGCGGATGATCTTTCATAGTTTTATAGAAAACTAGTCACAAATTTGTAAATTGTTGTCATACAGTAAGAGTGCTTAAAGGAGACATATTATTCCCCTTTTTACAATATGTAATATAAGTCTCTGGTGTCCCCAGAATGTGTCTGTGACGTTTCAGCTCAAAATACTCCACAGATCATTTATTACATCATTTTGAAAATGCTTATTTTGAGTGGATGCAGAAACACGCTGTTTTCGGGCCTGTGTCTTTAAATGCAAATATCCCGTTGCCACGTCACCAAGGGAGCGAAATCAGACGTGCTTGTTTTCTCAGACGCTTGCAGAAAAAGGCTTCCCAAAACAAAGTTACTGGGTTTATCTTTTTCACGTTTCCTTGGTTGCTAGATGCACCGGGGACCTGATTATAGCACTTAAAACCTGGAAAAATCAGATTTCATAATATGTCACCTTTAAAATCAGGGTTATTATTGTTAACTAAAACTAAGACTAAAAAATCACTACTTGAAATAAAATAAGCATTAACTGAAATATAATATAAAAAAACTTAAACTTATTTTATTTCAGTTAGTTGACAAGGAAACATTTCTCATTCTCATGCTTAAAATAAAAACAAATGTGGATAGCAGCTTATAGTGAGTTCATATTGAATTCTGTGACTTTTGATTGCTGAATTTGATATATTGGTAAATAAAAACGAATTATTATCAGAAACATCTGAGAAGTATAATATAAGAAAAATCTCCATTTGATCTCATTGCTGACATTAAAGAGGCCTCATTAGTGAGTTTAACCCCTTAACTGCCCCCCCCCCCACATTTTTTAAAATAGGCATGAAAGTGCACTATCCAAACGTAAATTGTAATTTATGAACACTTTGTAATACAGACCTAAGGTTAGTCTCTTTGTAAAGAAGACAATCAGCAGATTATTGCACAAGTGGAATTTGTCCAAAACATTAAAGTATCAAAAAGTTATAGAAGTTTAAATGTACTGTAATGAAAATGCACTATACTCATTTTATTTTATTTTATATATAATAAATATTTTACATAACAGGTTTTACTCTAAAATTTGTATAAAATTAAAGCCTTATGTCTAAATAAGTTATGTTTCAAATTTGAAGTTGATATGAACAAATTGAGGTTCCTGTGAAATTTTATTTAGGGCGTTATACCACAAACAGCCACCGGGTGCAATCCAAACTCCATTGCATTTTTTTAATGCATTTTTCTGTCACAAATGTCTAGATTTCTCTGTCAATATGACGTCTATCTCAAAATAACCACCAAATCCTGAGACTCAGACCTTTCCAATGATATGTTTTTTGTCAAGATTATAAAAAGTTTGATTCTAAAAGAGCGTAATGCATGTTGTAATATGACACTTGACACCGCTCACTAAGGGGGAGGAGACCGCCAAAAGATTTTCAAGTACCATTTCCATGGTAACGCAATGTCTGATTTCGAAATGGTTTGCACAGGATGAATCTTGTGCTTCTAAGCTTTCAAATGATATATAATGTATGATGATTACTAAAAGATTTGATAGAGAAAAAGGACAACAAAAAAGAGCGCCAAGCGTCCGACAGGTGGGATGGTGACAGTTAAGGGGTTAACCATGTTAGTTGTATAGTATGATCCCTGGTTACAACATGCAACTTTGACAACTAGTGATGCATTTCAAATATTTTACTGAGACATTTTCAGCCTTCGCAAATACTATTCTAAAAATAAAACAAAAAGTTGCAAAAACCCTAAAAATAACTGGTGAAGGATTTACCTTTAAATGATTTTCACTCAGAAATTGCTAGTAAAATTTCAATTAAACTTTAAATGTTGAAGTAGAAACATGCACTGAAACAGTAACACTCCAGTAATTAAAAAACAAAATAAAACATTTTTTTTACTGTGTGGTATTAGATGATTTATCACATCACTCTCATGAGCACTAGTACTAGGAATGATTGTCTTAATACTCTCATCCCAGAGAGAAATATCTGAAAACACTGCATCAGGCATCGGGATGTTTTCTGGCATTTGTGTAGCTCACTGTCTAATAAGATCAGTTCACATGATCGCTCGAGCCGGAACGAGAGTAAACACGGTCTCACAGCAGCAAACGGCCCACGAGGACGTTCACTTCCAAACATTCGGCACGAGAAACACTCAATCCAACATCCAGATTCTGACGTCTCGCCTCAACAACATCGAGTCACAGATCTTCACACGCACAGATATTTGCTGTTTATATGAACCCTAAACACTGCAATCTGATGAAAAATGTATGCAATATGAAATATTATATTTTTTGAGCACGTTCACACACATCATTTTTGAGTCAGCCACCACAAAAACACACCATCTCAGATCAGTGTCGTCACAGGTAAATAAAAGACTATTTCAGAGCTTCAAGAGCCACTGGTGAAACATCAGATACAATACAGTATAATTTTTGACATGTTGTTTGCAAAAACATGTAATTTTGTCAGAATACATCTGGAAAAGATGCCCCATATTGGTGTAGTGACAGCATCCACCAGCAGAGGCGAACTAACCTCTACTAACTAGTCAAACCCTAAACCTTATTTCAGGAAGAGACAGAGTCAGCTTATAAAAGTGAAGAAGCTCATCATGGCACCTCTGTGAATAATCGCTGTGTTTGCCTTTCTAACGTATCTAAAACTATTCCTACAAAGGAAGCTTTCATGTTATAAACAAGATTAGAATTAGTAGTGTTGCAAAATTCAGTCCTGTATAAGCCTCAGGCTACAAAACATTGCACTAGATACAAACTCATCATGTTTTTACTATGATTTCATGATTTATACCCAAAGTGCATTTCAAGAAAATGTATGTTTTCTTATTTTTGAATCTTGCAGATATCAATGTATTGACAGCACAGTTCACATCAGATGATTAGTATGATTAGTCATAGTAGCCTAGTTCACATTTTAGATTCTCTCAGCATATTATTGTACGTTTCGGTGCCTTAAAATGCACGTGCATGCATTCGTGTAGCTCAAACAGTAAAGTATGGCACTAGCAATGCCAAAGTCATGGGTTTGATTCCCAGGGAAAGCAAAAACTGATCAAATGTAAATGTGGACCTTGAATGCAATGCTATTGCATTGGATAAAAGTGGCTGCCAAATGCATAAATGCACATTTTCGTATGCATGCCAGTGAACATGAATAAGATCATCCTGGTATATTTGAAAGTGCATGTGAAAGTATTCAGATTCAAAGATTTAAATGGCAATTATAACGTTTAACAGATTAAGATGTGCACCAGCTCTCGTAAATGTCATTATTTGTGCATTCGAGGTGTTTGCGTGTAGGCTTTTCATTATGCTCTCTTAAAAAAAATAAATAAAGGTTCTTTATTGACACTAATGGTTCCATGAAAAACCTTAAACATCATGGAATGACAAAAAGTTCTAAGAGAAATGGTTCATCTACACTCTTAAAAATAAAGGTTCTTCATGAAACTATCAACGCCAATGAAGAAACTTTATTTTTAAGAGTAGATAAACATTTTTCTTAGAACTTTTTGTCATTCCATGATGTTTAAGGTCTTTCATGGAACCATTAGTGTCAATAAAGAACGTTTACATCGGACAAAGGGTTCTTTATCATGGAAAAACATTCTTTAGATTATTAAAATACTCTTCACACTTAAACTCTTCAAAATAAAGGTTCCAAAAGAGGGTTTTTGCAGCAATGCAATCGAAGAACCATTTTTTTTGGTTCCTCAAAGAACCTTTAAATGATCAGTTCCTAAAAGAACCATTTTTTTTCTTAATATAAAAAACATTTTAATCATCTAAAGAACCTATTCCACTATAAATGACCTTTTATGCAAGAGAAAGGTTCCACTTATGTTAAAAGCTCTTCATGGAACTGTAGATGCCAATAAAGAGCCTTTGTTTTTTAAGAAAAAGTGGTTCTTTTAAGAACTGTTCAGTGAAAGGTTCTTTGGGTAACCAAAAAATAGTTCTTCGATGGCATCTCTGCAAAAAAATCAAATAAAGCTCCATTTGGGTTTCCTCAAATCACCCTTTGGAGAACATCCAGAGGTGCTTCTGAAGGTGCCTCAACGTCCTATAATTCGCTGAAGGAACTTTAATACATCAGTTCCATTATAATGAACTTAAGGGATCCATTTTGTAAGTTCCTGCCATTTTTGACGATCTGACCCCAAATGATGCCTCGATAGATTTTCATCTTTGCATGCAAATGCAGCGCGAGAGAGCCGGGGGAGGTGGGGTTGCGTGAGGCTGAGGGAAGGTAAAAGCATGTCCTCCTCAGCACAGCTTTTCATTGTCGTCTAGGCTTTGTGCTTCTGCTTTCTCTCATCAGCCGCTCGCTATCTGTGCGTCTTCATCCAGCGATGCGACACAACGCGGCGCTCAGCATCATCATCGCACCCACAGCTCGCATGCAGATGTCAAAACGCGGCTTTTCTTACCTTGCCGTTGTGAGATGAGGAATTTAGGAGCCTGTCCTGCTGGGAAGAGGCTTTGTGGTGCTGTATGAACACACACACACACACATGCACGCGTGAACGCTCGCGCTCAATCAGCCTCCCACTGCAGGCTGCCGCTCGCCTGAGAGAGTCCGATGCATTTCTGCACGGCCATCTCAGAGAGATGATGCTCGAAGCCGCGCATCTGATCTCCCAGCGGCCCCTGCTACCGGTGCCGTGATGATGCCATGGTGAAAACAAGGTGCAATCCACATCTAGAAGAAACGAGAGCGCCCTCTCTCTCTCTCTCTCTCTCTCTCTCTCTCTCTCTCTCTCTCTCTCTCTCTCCTCCTGTGGGTTGTCTTTGCAGTGTGTGTGTATGTGTGTGTGCGGGGCAGCGTCACCTAGGAGACGGTTCACGCCCCCTCTGTCGCCGTGGTGAAGCGTTTCCACGTGAGCGCGTGATCTGAGACGGCAGGTAAAGCGGTCAGCTCATGAATAATTAATGTAATGATGAGGGTCATAACAGGCCAGAAGCTGAACCATCAAATATTTACCACGGTAAACATAGTTTACAGCAGAAATACCAGAAATTGCACTAATTTAATAATCAGAATTAAAATTAAGTGATTTCATATGACTGAATCAACCTACTTTAGGTTTTAGCAGGATTTGATGGGTCCGATTATAACCCGCTCTGTTTTTACTTTTACTTTGTTTTAACTTAACAACTGCATGTTTTGACTTTTGACGTCTGCCGTTAGCAATAAATTAACGTTTTATCGACGCTGAACAGTTGTGACGTGTCAGAATCTGAAATTTGGTCAGCTCATGAATAATTAATGAGATTATAATGAGGGTCACCAGAGGCTGGTGATGTTATGGAATAACAATCGGATGAATCATCAAATATTTACCACGGTAAACATAATTTCCAGCAGAAATACCAGCTCTAATTCAATGATCATAAATAATAATAACAATAATGATTTGGATTTGACTTAAGATCAACCTAAATACCTACATTTTACCAGCATTTTAGGTCAGATCAGATACAAATGGCTCTGTTTTTAATTCTACTTTGTTTTAATGTAACAACTGCATGTTTTGAATTTTACTATGGTATTGTGCTGGATAGTATGTTTAATATATTTATAGAAATATAAAATATATTTAATATATTTTTGTATTTTTATTTTTATATTATTAAGAATGATACATTATTTAGCATTATATTATTTTTATATGATTTAGTATTTTAATTTGGTGAACAAAATATTCATAATATTTTTAGAAACTATTTATAGAATATTTAATAAACTTTTATTTCAAACCGCTTTCAAAATCAATTTTTTTTTAAAGAATTTTAATCCGGATTTTATTGAGACTTTCTTCAATACTTCTGTGCTTTTAGCTCAACACAAAAAATACCAAAACATGAACATTAATTTAGGAAATTAAGACATTTATGACTAGTTTAGCAGATTAATCATGAAGTCAAATCATCAAAGCCACTGACAATACCCGCCAATAATAATCAATAGCTTTAAATAAAGCAATATGCCCCAAGAAGCCGTGGTTTACAGTGAATTTATAAAGAAATGTGCAGCATTTTGTCCAAGCAATAATAAAAGGACACATGTAATTTGTCTTAAATCTCATTTTGTAAAAAAAAAAAAAAAAAAATGAATCGAATTGTGAGTTGAGTGAATCGTTACATCCCTAATAAAAGCAGTATTGTTCCACCAAACAATGTAGCTCCTCAGAGACAGTTGTGGTTGCAACTAAGTGGTTGCCAAGCAACAGACAGAAGTAAACAAAGGTGTATGTTACTTTGTAGAGTCATTTACAACAGCTTCGAACGCGGCTCAGCCAATCAGAATCAAGCACCGGAACTCTCCGTTTCATAAGTGTTAATCTAAAACCACAAGACATTTGAATTTGAGAGACATTTACATCTCAGTTAGTAATAAAGTGCAAAGCAGATGCTGTTTGTCCTCATTATGAGCCGAAATCCCACGAGAACAGCTCTTTATGTCTTCAGTGCTCATCTATGAGCGCAAACTGTCAATACATGAGATCAAATGTAAATTTGATGCAAAATTCCCTAATAAACACATTCTTGATCTGGTCTGTAGTGTGATTTGCTCTGCTGCTTTTGTCCTTTCAGAGCTTTTTGTTACGCAGGGCAATTAAAGTCCATCCCGAAACAATGACGCCCAGTGAGCTTTTGTTTTTTGTCTTTAGCATATTAATAGAGCTGCTGATCCTCCATTCACTGAAACACTCATTCACTCATTCACCCAGAAAACATGAGTCTAACCTCACAATGCGTGTATTTATTCACAAGCAGCATCTAAAAAGAAAAGGCGAAATGTTTTTTGTGTAAGCACTTGACTGTTCTGGCAATATTGTGATCGTTTATGTGGGCTGAATCATTACATTGATACATTTATTAAAGTAGTTTTAGGAGTTGCAGATTAATTTTGGCTTTGTTGATTTTAAAAGCTATTATGAAAGTAAAAGCTGAATTTGCACGTGATGATTTATGTGAACAAAGTATTAGAATAAATGCAGCAACCTCTAGATCTCTCTCTGTACTTTAGTTTAGTAAAATAGAGAAATGTTTTAGATGAACACATTGATTATTAAATCTACAGAGGCTTCAGACTTATCTTTTCTGACTCTGGTATTCACATCCAGAAGTTTATTGTTATTAACATGAAATCAAACTTTTTTCAGCCTGACTTTTGGGTTGGAAGAGCAAAATAATGCTTCGATGCAATGATGAAACAGTGAATTATCTGCTTTTACAAAATGGAGACGTCTTCAATAAACAACATTGAAGTTTTTATTAGTTTATTTTTGACTGAAAAAAACTTCTAGTTTACATAATATATGTGAATAGGCTACTGTGTATGTTTATTATGCATATATAAATACACACACATGCATGCATATATTTAAGAAAAATATGTTTAGTTTATATATAAAATATTTGTTTTTATATAATATAAATTACTGTATAAATACACACACATGTAGGTGCCTATATTTTTTAATTTTATACATGTGTGTTTGTGTATTTATATATATATGCATAATAAATATACACAGCACACATATATTATGTAAACAAAAACTTTTATTTTTGATGCGATTAATCGTTTGACAGCACTAATATATATATATACATATATTAAAAAAAATCTGACCAAAAATGCATTATTAATAGCTATTAATTTATTAATTAATGGACAAGCAGATGGACAAGCCTCTGTCCAAAATAAAAAAGAAGAGCACTTGAAAGTTCTCACTTGATTAAACACTCAAACATCAGCAGCTTCTAGAGGCTCATTTCTCAACTTTCTGTGTTTTTGGCTTATCACGCTTCAGCGCCACCTGCTGATGCCGCAGTGAATGACCAGCAGAAAGCTGTCATATTGTATTTTATTAGTTTAATTTCAATAACTAAAACTGAAATAAAAATGAATAAAAAGTATATAGACATATTTAAAAAAAAATTCAAAATGACAAAAACACAACAAAATTACTAAAATGCAAACAGAAAATATAAAAGTAACATTCAAAATAATAATAAAAACTATATATTTTCATTAATATATAATAAAGGTTCCTAAAATAACACTGACGTGGGAGTCTTCAAAACTAAAACCATTAAAAAAAAAATTCCTTTTCTTTTAATTAAAAAGCTAGTTACCAAAGCAACATTTATTTAGTTTAACTGCAATAACTGAAACTGAAAAAAATAACGAATTAAAACTATAGACATATAAAAAAAATTCTAAAAATGACATAAAATTACTAAAATGTGTGTAAACACAAAAATAACAATAAAATGGAAACAAAATAAAAACATTCAAATTATAATTTTAAAACTATAATATATAAAACATTAATGATACTAAAATAAGTGCAGGGGTTTCCGAAACCAATAAAAACATTTTCATTTTAATTTACTTAAAATACACAGTAACTAACATCAAATTATTTAGAAAAAGCTATATAGAACATTTCATTTTTATTTAGTTTTATATATATTATTTTGACATACTGAATTGCGTATTAAACTTAAGTGTGTAACTCACAATAAAAGATTCGCTATTATATTCCACATTAGTGTTCTCGCCGTTTCAATTACATTGAAGTCCATGCAAATAAACTTCTATTATATTCTCTGCAATATATGTCAACTCTGCTGATAATGTGTGTGACAGCCAGTGTTGTGCAGTAAGTAGTTACTTAGTTACTGTAATAATATTTCTTTTTGCAGTAACTAATTACTAATAAGATTTCAGTAATAATATTAGTTACCATGCATAAAACAGCTTAGTTACTTTTGATGCCTCAACCCGCTGATTTAAAATCCAACAATATCACTTTAAACAATGAATCACTATTGAGTGTTTGTAATAACATCCAGTGTGGGTTTTGGTCAAATGATGAGGCAGAAATATGTTGTTAGTAACATTCTAGATTAAGAATGTTATGTGGAAGATACACTGTTACAACTTCTGTGGGGTGAGAAGAAAAAGTAATGTAACTAATTACTGTTGCCAGAAAGTAATGAGTAACAATGTTACTTTTGAAAGGAGTAACTAGTAATGAGTAATATATTACATTCTTTGAGTAACACTGGTGACAGCGCTATAAATAAAGTGCAAATGCAGTTTGATATGGAATCGGTTGCATTTATTGAAGCATTAATTACCACGACAACATAATGCGTATGCATAAATGCTACTTTTGCACTATAAAAAAAAAAAAATCCCAAAATGTGGCATTACAAAAAGTATGTATATACACAAAAAAGAAAAGAAAACGTATGTACACACACAGGAATGGTTATACACAAAGACATCTACAACAAATAAAGATAGTGTTTCAAACCTAGTAAGCAGCCTACAGCTTCTTTTAGGCAAGTTTGAACTTTTTCAGACATCTACGACTGCTGTCTTGATAGAAAGCGCTTCAGTTTGCATTGGATTCTACTAGCTTTCTGTGCTCTGCAGTTTGACAGCGTGTTTCTGTCGGTAGCGCTCGGAAAATATAAAAGTAACATTCAAAATAATAATAAAAACTATATATTTTCATTAATATATAATAAAGGTTCCTAAAATAACACTGACGTGGGAGTCTTCAAAACTAAAACCATTAAAAAAAAAATTCCTTTTCTTTTAATTAAAAAGCTAGTTACCAAAGCAACATTTATTTAGTTTAACTGCAATAACTGAAACTGAAAAAAATAACGAATTAAAACTATAGACATATAAAAAAAATTCTAAAAATGACATAAAATTACTAAAATGTGTGTAAACACAAAAATAACAATAAAATGGAAACAAAATAAAAACATTCAAATTATAATTTTAAAACTATAATATATAAAACATTAATGATACTAAAATAAGTGCAGGGGTTTCCGAAACCAATAAAAACATTTTCATTTTAATTTACTTAAAATACACAGTAACTAACATCAAATTATTTAGAAAAAGCTATATAGAACATTTCATTTTTATTTAGTTTTATATATATTATTTTGACATACTGAATTGCGTATTAAACTTAAGTGTGTAACTCACAATAAAAGATTCGCTATTATATTCCACATTAGTGTTCTCGCCGTTTCAATTACATTGAAGTCCATGCAAATAAACTTCTATTATATTCTCTGCAATATATGTCAACTCTGCTGATAATGTGTGTGACAGCCAGTGTTGTGCAGTAAGTAGTTACTTAGTTACTGTAATAATATTTCTTTTTGCAGTAACTAATTACTAATAAGATTTCAGTAATAATATTAGTTACCATGCATAAAACAGCTTAGTTACTTTTGATGCCTCAACCCGCTGATTTAAAATCCAACAATATCACTTTAAACAATGAATCACTATTGAGTGTTTGTAATAACATCCAGTGTGGGTTTTGGTCAAATGATGAGGCAGAAATATGTTGTTAGTAACATTCTAGATTAAGAATGTTATGTGGAAGATACACTGTTACAACTTCTGTGGGGTGAGAAGAAAAAGTAATGTAACTAATTACTGTTGCCAGAAAGTAATGAGTAACAATGTTACTTTTGAAAGGAGTAACTAGTAATGAGTAATATATTACATTCTTTGAGTAACACTGGTGACAGCGCTATAAATAAAGTGCAAATGCAGTTTGATATGGAATCGGTTGCATTTATTGAAGCATTAATTACCACGACAACATAATGCGTATGCATAAATGCTACTTTTGCACTATAAAAAAAAAAAAATCCCAAAATGTGGCATTACAAAAAGTATGTATATACACAAAAAAGAAAAGAAAACGTATGTACACACACAGGAATGGTTATACACAAAGACATCTACAACAAATAAAGATAGTGTTTCAAACCTAGTAAGCAGCCTACAGCTTCTTTTAGGCAAGTTTGAACTTTTTCAGACATCTACGACTGCTGTCTTGATAGAAAGCGCTTCAGTTTGCATTGGATTCTACTAGCTTTCTGTGCTCTGCAGTTTGACAGCGTGTTTCTGTCGGTAGCGCTCGGCCCGCAGCTCCTCGAAGCAGAACTCGCTGGCTCCGCTGTAGAGCAGCTCTCTGCAGTACATGCTCTGCTCTCGACTCTTCCCGTCCTCCTGCGTCTGGAGCTGCATCCGCTCCTGCAGCATCTTCAGCGGCGTCTGCTCCGGCCTGCAGGGCTTCCTGACCGACAGCACCGAGTTCACCGCCGGGTCGATTTTACACGGAGTCCTGCAGGAAGACATGACGGAAATGAGGTACGATAAGCATGTGAAGTCAACATGAAATCAAAACTCATCCTATTTGACTTTGTTAATGCATGTTTCTCGTCTTATTGTGTGCGATTCATTAGTGCAGGGCAGGGTTATTATCGTTAACCAAAACTAAGACCGTTAAAAAACATGTTACTTGAAAAAAATAAACATTAACTTAAGAGAAATATTAAAAAACTTTTTTCTTTAAACTTAAGGCAACATTTCTCATTTTCGTTTAGTTTAACTTAAAATAAATAAAACAGAAATAAAAACTACATAGATATATAAAAAAAATTAGTAAAATTACAAAAACAACAAAAATGCAGAAAATATAAAAAAAAAACTAATTACAATTATTAATTAAAACTATATATAACATGTAATAATATACTAATGATACTAAAATAACACCGGCACGGGGGGGTTTCAAAACTAAAACCATTAAAAATATATTATTTCTTTTTCCATTTACTTAAAATAAACTGTAACTCAAATAATGGAATTAAAATATATATTTTTTTTAATATTTAAAAATAAAAAAGCTAAACATCTAATTTTTTATTTAGTTTAATTTCAAGTACTAAAATAAATAAAACAGAAATAAACATTTATAAAAACTACATAGATATATATATTAAAAAAACTAGTAAAATAACAAAAATGCAGAAAATATAAAACAACTAATTACAAAATATTCATTAAAACTATATATAACATATAATAATATACTAATGATACTAAAATAACACCGGCACAGGGGTTTTCAAAACTAAAACCATTAAAAATATATATTTTCTTTTTCCATTTACTTAAAATAAACTGTAACTCAAATAATGACATTTAAAAAAAATTGTTTTAAATATTAAAAAAAAAAAAAGCTAAACATTTCTCATTTTTTATTTAGTTTAATTTCAAGTACTAAAATAAAAACTAAAATGGAAATAAAAATCTGTATAAAATAAAGGCATATTAAAAAAAACAACAACAACAGAAAAACGCCACAAAAAAAAATACAAAGCAAAATTAAAACTTTAACTGAACTTAAAATGCAAAGAGAAAATATAAAAATATATTTATTCAATCTTCTAGATGAAGTTTAAAAGGCATCTAGTATAGCATATATAAAATAACACATTTATACTGTAAAAAATGTCTAAAATATAATAAAAAAATATTTAGTTTCAAATTTTATTTAATTTTAGTTGGTTTTATTAATTAATTCATAAAAGAAATAAACTCTTATTTATTCATTTTTACATTTCTGACAGTTTTTCACTTTACTTTTCCATAGAGGCCAATGTAAAAACCCCTTCATTAGTGCATGTAATTATAAAGGAAGAAAAACGCGATCTTCAATGCACTGAGAGCTCGACATGTGGCGTATCTTCTGATTACACTCACACAGCGGGAGGCTGGACGTCCTCTTCCACAAACGGCTGGAAGCTGGGTTTAGGAGGTGCGACGGCGACGCTGAGGCCCGATCTGGACTTCAGAGGCAACTGGAATTACAAACATTTACCTCATAATGAACGTTGATCTGTCAGATAACAGCCTCCGTTCTAACTGGATAAACGGGTGATATTAGCATACAGCTCAACACTTGTACCTTCACATTGGTCCATTTCTCAGGCTTCTGTTCGTTCTCTTTGGCTCGGGCAGTAGGTGGCGCTGTCCAGACCTCAAATTTGGGCTCCTGCGGCTCTGTTTCAGAAGCTTTATTCTCATCAAAGATCACCAGCCGACTGTTCTGCTTGGGGCCCAACGGCTGTTTAAACTGGAGCCCGCGAGCGTCTGTGGCACAAAACAACAGTGTGATCGCACCGCATGCCTGCATCTACTGCTTCATACACTGAAAACACTCGCTGAAGAGGTTCTGCTCACATCCGGCCGAGGCCTTCCCTCTGTTGATGGGAACCACGGCTTTTTTCTTCCCTTTGGCTTTGAGCTCAGCCAGTGAGGATCGCTGAGGCTCTGCGGGTCCTTCATCATCATCATCATCATCTCTGTGTTGATCTGTCATAGACAACATCATCTGTCTACACGCTCGAGCCTGCAGAGCTCTGGAGATCAACACATTTCATGATGAGACGCGACGTTTCAAACGCTGAAGACACTACAATACAGTGACAGCAGTGTGAAGTCAAACTTCTGAAACCTGATACTCGAGACTGAAACTGAGTTTCATCAAAAAGAATAAACGTAGGGCTTTATGATTTGAGGAATTTATTGGACGGTGAAAACTGTCTTTAAAGCCTGACATATGAGATAATAAGCCTTTAGACAAAAAAAAAAACAGTTTGCATGTTTTGTATCATATTTGATGCTTTTATGGCTCTTATAAAGTGAGAATATGGAGGAAAAAACAGCTCAGTTTTATTCAAAGACTCAAACTGAGCAAACATATGCAATTTGCTGCAGAAGCTGATATTTATATGATGCAATTCTGATGTAAATCTATGAGATCTTTATAACAGTAGAGCAGATACTGACATAAAATTATATAAATCTCAGTCGTCACTCTATATCTCCAATAATCTGTCTCAGTAAAATGAGATTGAAATGATCCAAACATATAATGCAGTGATTGAGAGATGAAGAAATAACCGTGAGATGTTCTGGAGGCTTGTGAAGATCATTCCTCCGCTGAGGAACAGTGAAAGTAAAGCTTCTGGAAACAAACGCTCCTCAAAAGATCCTGATGATCAGATTTGAGACTCTAAAACATGATTGATGGAGAATCAAGTAAAGCTGAGCTGCTTCAGTCCAGTAAGTGTTCATCTGGAGATATTACTGCAGTTATTCTGACCTTTACTTTGACACGAGAAAGACACGAGAAGCTCCAGAATTACACTAAAAGAGCTTTGACTGGATAGAAAAGTCAATCAGACGGCATGGAGGAGATCGTGTGCGACCGGTTTAACAGCAAAGTTTTGAACAGGTTGATCCTTTAGAGAGCTTAGAAAGTCATGAACTCATTTTAGCTCGAGATCAATGCACTTTAAACCTGTGAAACGCTTGCAGCTTCTCCGCAGGCTCTGCTCCACACTTCACGCCGTCCTGAAACACGCCGTCAGCCATCTTTATATTCCCTCTCTTCTCGTACTCTTCAGACCAGGCGATGTAAAGCGCGGCTTGCATGCTTCCGATGCCTTGAGCTTGCATGTAGCGGTAGACGTCCATCGGGTCAGAACAGCCCTCCGCCTGCGAGGAGACGGAAACAAATATGTTTAAAACACGATAGCATTCATCTGAACACTGATCGAGGAGGTTCGGCACTCACAAACTCGATCCAGAGCTCAACGTAGCGAACGTCATTGTGATATTTCTTGCCGGCTGTGAAGCGCGTAACTGCTCTTTCAAGAAGCACTGATAAATTACTCTCCTTTCCACCTTGTGGATACGTCTGCTTTGTCCATTTGATGTACCTGCATTATAAAGAATCAGAATTATATATGATTTGCATATCAGAAGTCAACATGCGTTGCATCCGTCATCATCATAATCCATACCTGACCCAAACATCTAGAGGATCGTCTCCATCACACAGCCGCAGCTCAGACTCAAACGCTCTAACAAAGACAGATTATATTAATGAACTGTTCAGGAACAGGTCTCTAGTTGAATTCAAAGGTCACTCACTGTGTTTTCTGATGGAGGGCCGTGTGGTTTCTCTCCTGCTGCTGACACAGAGCCTGCTGCAAAGCTGACACCGAGCGGCCTTGTCTCAAAGGCTGGATATTTTCTTTACACAATTCCCATTCGGCATCACACTCTGCCATGATCTAGAAGAACAATAGCATGATATTGAATGGTTACAACCATAATCATATGCACTCACTGCTGTTGAAAAGTCTGTGATCAGTAAGATTTTTAATGTGTTCTCTTCATAGCTGCATTTATTTGACCAAAAAAACTGTAATGTTTTTACTATTTTAAATACCTGTTTTCTGTGTGAATATCTGTTAAACTGTAATTTATTTCTGTGATGCGCAGCTGTATTTTCAGCATCATTACTCCAGTCTTCAGTGTCACATGATCTTCAGAAATCAGTATAATATGCTGATTTATTATCAATGTTAGAAACAGTTTTGCTGCTTAATATATCTTTTTTTGGAACCCGTGATACTTTTTCAGGATTATTTGATGAACAAAGTTAAAAAGCAAAGCATTTAATTAAAATCTTAGTCTTTATTATCACTTTTTTATTAATTTAACACATCCTTGCTGAATAAAAGCATTCGTTTCTTTCTAAAATAAATAAATAAATAAAATAACTGACCCCAAACTTTTAAATGGTAGTGTATATTGTTTACCCTGCTTATATTTTGAATAAATGCTGTGCTTTTTAACTTTATTAATCGAATAATCCTGAAAAAGTATCACAGGTTCCCAAAAAAAATATGTTTCTAATATTGATAATAAATCAGCATATTATACTGATTTCTGAAGATCATGTGACACTGAAGACTGGAGTAATGATGCTGAAAATACAGCTGCGCATCACAGAAATAACATATATGTTAAAGTATATTAAAATAGAAAACCGTTATTTTAAATTGCAAGAATATTTCACAATATTATTTTTTTCTGTATTTCTGATCAAATAAATGCAGCCTTGATGAACAGACGAGACTGGTAAGTTAATATAATGTCCTAAAAACCCACAAAAGCAACAAATCAAAGCTCTTGAAGAGATAAAGCAGTAAATAATGGGCAAAACACACTAAAAAGTGACAACAGATCAATGTGAATGAACACATCAGCGACATAAATTACACAAAACAAATATAACTTACATTTTCCCACCTGAAATATCCTTAATACGCTTTCTTCGCGTCTTTATGAAGCACAGATGTGCGTTTATTTGATTTATTTCTTAGTCTCGTAAGATTGTGTTGTCGCATGAAAAAGACATTTGAACAAAAACCGGAAGCGCGCCGAAGAGATTCTGATTGGGCAACCGCTCACTTAACCTTCTCTAAAATAATAACAGGCTATTATTATTATTTTTTTTTTATAAACTTTTTTGAATGTATTATAATAGCGACATTGTTTTTGACAGGTATTTCTGCTCGTCATAAATTTTGACAATAAGCAACACCAACCGTCGTGTTGCATGCTGGGAAAATGAGTTTTCCCGGTACGTTTCATCTTTAATAGTATTGATTGTTCTATTCGACATTGATAGCTAAGGTAGTTTTAGGTAATTACTGTCATGTCTAATAAGTCTTTACACTATTTTGCATGTATTGATCCTTTCAAACTACAATAGTTTTGATTGCTGCAAGCGAGAAAACTACATTTCCCTATACATCCCAGTCCACACAGCGCTTCCTGTGTTTACATGCTCTCATTCAAGAGAAGCGTCATTGATAAAGTGCATCTGAAATGGTAACACACACTAAATGTATGTGTTTAATTACAAGCTTGAGCGTTTAAAGTCTCACACTGGCAACGTGTTTGCCTGAAGAATCTGAGTAAGTTATGGATAATCGCTGTTGTGGCTGTGCATCAAAGTTCACTCTCTTCAGAAAAGAGGTTAGCGAATATAAATACAGGTTATTTCATTTCACCGCCTGAATTGAAAGTGTTTGACTCGGGGTTGTGTGTTTGCAGTTGGGTTGTAGAAACTGTGGCCATGCTTTCTGCTCTGGGTGTCTGGCATTCAATGCTGTGGTGCCTAAATATGGAAACAGCCAGCAGAAAGTCTGCAAACAGTGTTATGGAAACTTAACAAGGTCTGGAAGCCAAACACAGGTTATATTCAGACTAAACATGGGTTGTATACTCACTAATGCACAACTGACAGGTCTTTTTCTACAGTTCGGGCAACCAGAATGATGCTGGCAGATGGTCCCCACCTGAAAACTACAAAAAGTAAGAATCTGTAAGCATCACGTGACAAATACACCTGTGTGCCAATAACACAGATCTGTGGCGTCTTACAGGCGAGTTGCTGCTCTTGAAGCCAAACAAGCTCCGCAGAATCAGCCTTCCAGACCTGCGGGTGCAAAAAGCAGCTCTGTGAGTCTGATTTCTACCAGAGGACTCAGTAAAGAGGACCAGATCATCGCAGAACGACTCAACAAGCTGAAAGAGGAAACCAAGCCGAGTAAGATCTGTCAAAATCTGCCTTCTGAACAGCTTGATTTGTTTATATTTCTTTATAACGTAAACTTTATTATCACCCAGCTCTAATCTGCCGAATGCAACTATAGTGCATGAAGATATTAAGATATTATAAACATTAATGTCATGATTTTCAGCTGCAAATGCAACTATAATGCATGAAGATATTATAAACATTAACGTCATGATTTTCAAATGCAAATGCAACTATAATTTATGAAGATATTAAGATATTATAAACATTAACGTCATGATTTTCAAATGCAAATGCAACTATAATGCATGAAGATATTAAGATATTATAAACATTAACGTCATGATTTTCAAATGCAAATGCAACTATAATGCATGAAGATATTAAGATATTATAAACATTAACGTCATGATTTTCAAATGCAAATGCAACTATAATGCATGAAGATATTAAGATATTATAAACATTAACGTCATGATTTTCAAATGCAAATGCAACTATAATGCATGAAGATATTAAGATATTATAAACATTAACGTCATGATTTTCAAATGCAAATGCAACTATAATGCATGAAGATATTAAGATATTATAAACATTAACGTCATGATTTTCAAATGCAAATGCAACTATAATGCATGAAGATATTAAGATATTATAAACATTAACGTCATGATTTTCAAATGCAAATGCAACTATAATGCATGAAGATATTAAGATATTATAAACATTAACGTCATGATTTTCAAATGCAAATGCAACTATAATGCATGAAGATATTAAGATATTATAAACATTAACGTCATGATTTTCAAATGCAAATGCAACTATAATGCATGAAGATATTAAGATATTATAAACATTAACGTCATGATTTTCAAATGCAAATGCAACTATAATGCATGAAGATATTAAGATATTATAAACATTAACGTCATGATTTTCAAATGCAAATGCAACTATAATGCATGAAGATATTAAGATATTATAAACATTAACGTCATGATTTTCAAATGCAAATGCAACTATAATGCATGAAGATATTAAGATATTATAAACATTAACGTCATGATTTTCAAATGCAAATGCAACTATAATGCATGAAGATATTAAGATATTATAAACATTAACGTCATGATTTTCAAATGCAAATGCAACTATAATGCATGAAGATATTAAGATATTATAAACATTAACGTCATGATTTTCAAATGCAAATGCAACTATAATGCATGAAGATATTAAGATATTATAAACATTAACGTCATGATTTTCAAATGCAAATGCAACTATAATGCATGAAGATATTAAGATATTATAAACATTAACGTCATGATTTTCAAATGCAAATGCAACTATAATGCATGAAGATATTAAGATATTATAAACATTAACGTCATGATTTTCAAATGCAAATGCAACTATAATGCATGAAGATATTAAGATATTATAAACATTAACGTCATGATTTTCAAATGCAAATGCAACTATAATGCATGAAGATATTAAGATATTATAAACATTAACGTCATGATTTTCAAATGCAAATGCAACTATAATGCATGAAGATATTAAGATATTATAAACATTAACGTCATGATTTTCAAATGCAAATGCAACTATAATGCATGAAGATATTAAGATATTATAAACATTAACGTCATGATTTTCAAATGCAAATGCAACTATAATGCATGAAGATATTAAGATATTATAAACATTAACGTCATGATTTTCAAATGCAAATGCAACTATAATGCATGAAGATATTAAGATATTATAAACATTAACGTCATGATTTTCAAATGCAAATGCAACTATAATGCATGAAGATATTAAGATATTATAAACATTAACGTCATGATTTTCAAATGCAAATGCAACTATAATGCATGAAGATATTAAGATATTATAAACATTAACGTCATGATTTTCAAATGCAAATGCAACTATAATGCATGAAGATATTAAGATATTATAAACATTAACGTCATGATTTTCAAATGCAAATGCAACTATAATGCATGAAGATATTAAGATATTATAAACATTAACGTCATGATTTTCAAATGCAAATGCAACTATAATGCATGAAGATATTAAGATATTATAAACATTAACGTCATGATTTTCAAATGCAAATGCAACTATAATGCATGAAGATATTAAGATATTATAAACATTAACGTCATGATTTTCAAATGCAAATGCAACTATAATGCATGAAGATATTAAGATATTATAAACATTAACGTCATGATTTTCAAATGCAAATGCAACTATAATGCATGAAGATATTAAGATATTATAAACATTAACGTCATGATTTTCAAATGCAAATGCAACTATAATGCATGAAGATATTAAGATATTATAAACATTAACGTCATGATTTTCAAATGCAAATGCAACTATAATGCATGAAGATATTAAGATATTATAAACATTAACGTCATGATTTTCAAATGCAAATGCAACTATAATGCATGAAGATATTAAGATATTATAAACATTAACGTCATGATTTTCAAATGCAAATGCAACTATAATGCATGAAGATATTAAGATATTATAAGCATTAACGTCATGATTTTCAGCTGCTTTAAAACATGTGTATTGCTTGATTTTCTGTTGCATTCATGAAATCCGAGAACCAGTGATGATGTTTTTCATTTTGTGTCAAATTATACATAAACCATATTCCTGTAGAGGTTCAATGATTGCTCAAGGGCTTAATGTTGAATATTCATGAATAAAAACTGTGTGACATGACTTTTAATCAGTAGTACTTGATCAAATTTATGCTGTACCTTGAATGCATTAATGCAATGCAAGTCGCTTTGGATAAAAGCGTCTGCAGGGGTTTTCAAAATGGGGTCTGAGGTCAGTGTAAAATAAAATAAAATAAAATAAATAAATAATAAGATTAAAATAAGTGTATAAAAATTTAAAATATTTATAAAATTTATTGAAAAATTCATTTTGATTAAAATAAATAAATGAAAATTGATTTAAAAAAATAAATAAAAATTAGTTCAAAAATAATAATATGACTCAATAGAAACAAAATATTTTTCCAAATAACATTTTATGGATATTTATAATATTAATATTTAATTCAGCTTTTAATAATTTTATTTCAGCTAGTTGCCAAGGCAACATGTCTAATTTTTAATTAGTTTAAGTTGATAAAAATAACTAAAACTGAAATAAAATTAATAAACAGATTTAAATGTAAAATATTTATATTAAATATTAGTATCTATATAGACATATTTAAAAAAAATTATAATAAAATTACAAAATCAAAATGACTAAAACAATATAGAAAATATAAAAATAAAAAATAAAAAAAATTAATAAAAAATGTAATAGTATGTCAGTGATACTAAAATAACTCTGGTAAAACTTGTATAAATAAATTCAGTTAATAATCATTTTATTTAGTATTTAGTATTTCTCAAAGCAAAAAAACAAACAAAACAATAACGGAAGAATAAAACAAACCCACCAATCTAAAATTCTCTTCTACGTCTCTGATCTGATGTGTTGTGTCTCTGTCTTATCAGAGTCCATACCGTCAGAGAAGGAGCTGGAGTCTCGTCTCGCTGCCTTAAAAGCCCCGCTTCAGCCCTTCGTGCCGTCTGCTAAAGACATGGAGGAGCGTCTGGCTGCCCTACAGGGACAACCGTCGCCCTCTCAAGCCCCACGGCCTGTACTTCAATATCAGCTTTCACTACAAATGCTCTTGCCATGAGTGACACAACAGCACGCTTTCTGTGGATGTTTAATGTGTGCAGGTTCATCAGCCGCCAGACAGCAGGACTCAGACAGAACAGACCAATGATTTGAT